TGGCTGGCAAGGCATTTGCCTTGGGCAGCAGCAAAAAAAGCCAACCCCCAAACGCCCTGGCAGAGGCCCTGCCAGCCTCCTGTCCTGGGGGACCCAAAAGCTGGTATTTACCTTATGTGGGAGGTGGCCGGTGAGGGAGCATTCTCCCCTGAGCTCTTCCCTGCTCAGCTCCCTCATGCGCACCGCAGTGATGCCGGAGCTGGAATATGACATCACTCAAGCCCCAGCATCACTAAGAGGTGTGAGGAAGCTGAGCAGGGAAGAGCTCAGGGGAAAGTGCTCCCTCGCTGCCCACTTCCACTCGGCGCCTGCCTGCCTTACCGACCACACGCCCGTGCCTGCCAGCCCAGCCAGCAGCAGCCCCACTAGACCCCAGGGTAGAATCCACTCCAGCACTCCTAAAGGTAAGGAGGCTGGGTGGATTGAACTTTAATTTTATTTTAAATTGTGAGTGTGTGTGTCTTTGTTAGTGAGTATGTTAGTGTGTGTGTTAGTGAGTGTGTGTTACTGAGAGTGTATACATGTTTGTCAGTGAGTGTATGTGTGTGTCAGTATGTATCTTTCACTGAGTGTGTCTGTCAGTGTATGTATGCGTGTTTCAGCATGTGTCAGTGTGTTGTATATGTGTTTGCCAGTGAGTGTGTCACAGTGTGTGTGTGTATGCATTTCTGTCAGTGAGTGTGCATGTGTGCCTTGTCAGTGAGTGTGTATGTCTGTCAGTGAATGCGTGAATGCGTGTCTGTCAGTGTGTGTATGTGTGTGTATGTAACTGTGAATGAGTGAGTGTGTATTTCTGTGAATGTGTATGTTTCAGTGAAAGTGTGTGTTGGTTAAACAGTGTGTGTCAATGAATGTGTAGCTCCGCCTACTCTCCAACCCAGCCGGCGGGGGAGACCTGATGCGCATGCGCGGCAATGGCCGCGCACGCACATTAGACCTCCCCATAGGAAAGCATTATTCAATTATTCAATGCTTTCCTATGGGGATTTCAATGACGATGGAGGTCCTCACATAGCGTGAGGACGTCCAGCGTTGCTTAAAACACTTTTCGTGTTCTATGAACTCGGAAGTCCCTCTAGTTGCTGTCTGATAGACAGGTACTAGAGGAGGACTTAACCCTGCAAGGTAAATATTTAAGTTTATGAAAAGGGTAGTGGGAGTTGACACACAGACCACTCCAATGGGCAGAAGTGGTCTGGGTGCCTGGAGTGTCCTTTTAAAAGAACACTATAGGGGCAGGAACACAAACATGTATTCCTGACCTTATAATGAAAATCCACCATTTACATGGCTTGTCTCTGAAAAGGCAGTGTTTGCATGAAAATGCCTGAAGGCAATGATTATACTCACCAGAACAACTACATTTAGCTGACTATAGTGTCCATTTAAAGAGGATGTATGATTTGTCTCTACAAATCACAGTCCACCAGTTCTAATTTACCATAACCAGCAAGAACAAGGTGCTTTATCCAATGAATTGCTCTAGAAAATCCCCCAGAACACTATAAAAGGTTCACTCGGTGAATATGTACTTCACCGATGATCATCTGAACATGTTGTCCTTAGGCTTTGCCAGCTTTCGTAGGAATTTAGAAGAGATTTTATTGAAAACCATTTAGCAATTACCAACTTGCTTATATGATTATGATAACCATGGAAACATGACCCTTTATGGGGGAGAACTAAAATGAAATTTAATAAGCAAATCAGATGAATACATAATTGTAAGGACCCTACTGGTAATTAATTATAACTTAATTGGAGCCTAATATAATCCCTATTGTAGCTAATTCTATTTCTAGAGTCTCATTGCTAAATCATTCACTCTTGTTTTTTCTAAGTTCTAATTAACACCTGTTAATCTATTTGCATCATTAGAGAATTTATCAATAAAAAAAATGTCATTAATTATACTGAGGTAATAATGCAATGTCTCTTTCCTATAGACGAATATCTATTTTATTAATGTGTTTCTCTTCACATCCTTTTGACTTATTTGCTAGTACAGTATTTAAAGCGGCACTGTCATGCCGAACTTACCTTTCCTCAATCTCTTCCTCTTCTCCCCCTCTCAGGATCTGTTTATCTTTTCTTCCTATCTTCTTTAGTTTTCTTTAAAATCATTAGACAAAGTAGGGACTCTTTGCCTTATGGAGGATTCCTCCGCTTGACCAGCTCTGGCCAGCGGAGGAGCAAAGTGTGCTTCATTTCCGCGGGTCAGAGCAATTTTCCAACAATTCTTACCTTTCTTCAGTGTTCCCAAGATGCTTCCTGTCATTTTAGACAAAACTGCCGAATTGCGTTCTAACTGAATGAGAACAGTATGTTTGTTTCTTTTAGAACGCAATTCGGCATTTTGTTCGGATCGCTATTTCATTTGAATGAATATAAAAAAAACAAAACTATTGGCCCCCACCCCTAAACGACGGGTGGGGGCCCTAAAGTAAAATAAGGGGGGAGACCTATTGTCCCCCCCCCCGGCTCCCACCCCTGTGCGGTGGGTGGGGGTCATAATGATAGTGGGGGGGGCTACTGTCCTCCCCCCCCGACCCCACTCCTGGGCGGGGCGGGTGGGGGCCATAATGATAATGAGGGGGGACCTACTGTCCCCCCCCAGCCCCTGGGCAGGTGGTGGGGGCCAGAATGATAATAAGGAGGGGGACCTACTGTCCTTCCCCCCCCCCGGCCCCCACTCCTGGGCGGCAGGTGGGGGCCATAAAGATAATGCGGGATGGAACTTACTGTCCTCTCCCCCCGGCCCCCACTCCTGGACGGCGGGTGGGGGCCTTAAGTCAAATCCCCCCCCATCAAAGGTGACTAGGGGTCCCCAAGCCCCTAGTCACCCACCCCCCACCCAAATAAAAAGTCCTCTACCTACCCCCTCACCCTTAAAAATAGTGAGGGGGGAATAAAATTACTAACCTGTAAAGTAAAATTAAACTTACCATTCGACATCTTCTTTTTTCTAAAATCTTCATTTTTCAGCCCCAAAAAAGGCCAAATAAAAAACCATCATACCCGTCGAACTTAAAATAAAATAAAAAAACCCGAGCACAAATAAAAAACCAGACGAAAAAGAAAAAACCTGAGCGCAAAAAATAATCCATCTTCACCCATGGAGGGCTCCGCGCAGGCTGAGCTCTGCAGGGCGGGGCAAAGCCTTGCCCGCCCTGCAATTAGGCTAAGAACACTCTGATTGGTGGGTTTAAGCGAATCAGAGTGCTCTTTGTCATTTTACACAGCGTGGGAAAATTCAAAAGAACTTTCCCACGCTGTGTAAAATGACACAGAGCACTGTGATTGGATGGATTTCAAGCCATCCAATCACAGTGCTCTGTGTCATTTTACACAGCGTGGGAAAATTCAAAAGAACTTCCTATATAGACTGGCATCTATTTCCAGATGAAGGAAAGATAGATGGCAGACCAGGATACTGAAATTTGAAATTTCAGTATCCTGGTCTGCCATCTATTTGAAATTTCAGTATCCTGGTCTGCCATCTATCTATCTTTCCTTCATCTGGAAATAGATGCCAGTCTATATAGGAAGATCGTGGGGACAGCTTGGAAAAGCTTATTTTCCACAAGTGACAACAGTTAGAGCCTGCTACCTTAGGCTCTATATATCGTGAGTGACCCATTACCTCTGTCATACACTTAATTTGTATATATACAGTATTATGCTATGTATGCATTATTATATTTTTCAGATTAACTTCAAGATCTACAATTATTAAGTATATGTATTTTGTTTTCCTTTGAATTACACCCCCCACTTTGTTATATTGTTATTTCATCCTTTGTATTTAGATTGAGTATATTCAAGCAACTGATTATCCCATGTATCTTATATTCTGAGCAGAATTGTTGTGTTTGCCCTTCTGATGTATCCATTAGAGTTTTTATTTTTTTTAAATCATAAGTATTATGTAATTCATATAGGAACTACAATTTAGTAGAAGGCAAGGTAATATGAATTACATATGTTTTGAAGCCATTAAGTAAATCTACAGTTGCAGTTATGTGTTTGATCTGAGACTCAACACACCACTACACATATCATTAAAGCATCACAATGTTAATAGGTATAATTTAATTATTAATCTCCCCAGGATTATGTGTCATCTGATGACTGGGCAAAGGGACTATAAACACTGAAAGGCTCTTCTCCCACATAAGAGGAAATTCCAGGGAATTCCAGATGAGATACAGGAGCTCCGCTATAGTATATTTATGGCTCTGTTGATTATAGCATTCAATATATTGTAACCTGTGTGAACCTCAATTGTCTAAATTCTTGGACACTGTTGAAGACCAGAGAGTTGGACAGTTCTTCAATGATATTCTGTATGAAGTGAAAAAAGCCTGAGGCAGTATATTATAGATTTTGTATATAAGTCTTGGCAAGGTCGATTACGGCCATGCATGAGGCATACACCTAGCCTATCTTTTGAGTGAAGCTTGCCTCTCAACATTGCAAGCATCAACTGCCAGTTCTGTGTTATAATGTTAAACTGAAGTGATTGTTTTTTGTGTGCAAAGGGGGAGGATAATTAACTAAAAGTCATATTTAACAGTCTCTTAAAAAAAACTTTAATAATGCAAACACACTTATTTTTTTCTAGGGATACTGTAAAAAATATATTACCAATAGATTTGGTTAACAGAGTTTTGCTGAAACTGTCTTCAGAACATTGTTTCCATTTGTAAAACTTCACCACTGCGTGGACTTATCACCATGTCCATTCTAAAACATTAATCGGTACAGTTCTTAATATGAACACACTGTAATTGCGTGCAACACAATGAGCAGGTCTCAATACCTGCTAGGAAAATGAGTATTAGGTACATTCCTCCTCTTATCTATAGTATTCTGCAACAGATGTTATATGTTAATCTCTTATCAAGGTGTGCGAGGAGTGGCAGAAGGTTACATGCAGTGAGTTGGAATATATATTGATCTGTCATCTCTACCCACCACACAGGGAAATAGCCATAGATGTCCATCAGTTGACTCACTTTAAACACCACCCCCATGTTATCTCCCACCCTTACTTGCTTTGTACTATAAAGACACCAATGATCAAAAAAGAAAGAACACAGGCAAGAAGAAAGATCCATCCTGCCCTTTTGGACATTATTTCTGAAAAGCAAGTGGGAAATTAAGGCTATACCATGACATCTGTCATTGTGGTTATTGCAACAATTATGGGATGTGTCATCTTTACTGTGGACGTCACAAATGGTGAGTAAATAATAGCCTAGTCTAGGAAGAATGATAATAAAATAATTTATATTCACCAGGCAGCTGTAACATTTGAAATAAAAACCTTCAAATGCATCACTGCAAGAAAAGTTGTTTTTAAACCTGGTGGTAATATATGTCGCACTTTAACATAACATTTTCCCCACCGTTTGGTTCACAGATCAAGTGAGAAGAAGTAACCAATGGAGTTTAAAAAAAGAGGAGCAGTAAAAAAAAAAAAAAAAATTACAAATCACATTTACATATATTAAACATATAATATATAATATAAATATTTTTTTCTGCTCCTGTTTTTGTTTCCCCTCTGTTAGTCACTTTATCTGTGAATTAACATAGTGGCACATTTCTCATTTCTCAAATTTTCACAGGTGCTGCAGTACGAATATCTTGTCCACCTGGCTGGTTCTTTTACAGATCCCATTGCTATGCTGTGAGTAAGAACCCTGCTTCTTGGGCTGATGCAGAGGTAAGCCATTGTTTTCCAATTGATAATGATTGCCAAATAAATAATCTATCACATATGTGTCTTTCCTACGCTGAAGAAGTTCTCTTGATCCCCTTGTCCTCTAGGTTTATAGAACTCGCGCGTACACGCATGTTACTATTAATTCCAACTCCCTCTTTAACCCTCTTCAATCTGGCTTACATTCTCTTTACTCTGCTGAAACAGCCCTTACAGAAGTGGTCAATGATATGCACACTGATAACTCCAAAGTTCACTATTCTCTCTTAATTTTCCTTTCCTCTCTGTTGTCTTTAACATTGTCAATCACACACTCTTTTTTTTTTTCTAATCTTCCGTAACCTTAGTCTTCATGATTTTGTCCTTTCTAATTCTCATTAACAGGACTTCTAAAAGGCTGCTCCTTTTAAAATGAAATGCTCTATCCCATTCTTTTAGACCTACTCTCAGCTTCCATTCTTTTAAGAAGTCTCTAAACACATTTGTCTTGTTAAAACTTACGATCTTCCTGGGTAATTAATCACATTATAACAGTCCTCCCATCTCACACACTGCTCTACCTCAGTGAGGATTCCCATTCACAATTGCAGAGAGAATATGATTAATTCCTCTATGTGTTGCAATGCGTAAATTGAGGATTGTCCCTCACCACCTGTAGTCACCACATGGTTTGCACTTGTAGATATCTGAAGTCCCACTAGGACTCCTGATAGGCCAGAGTCTGTTTGGTTCTGGCAACCTCATGTCTATGCATGGCACACGTGCTATAGGTTGCTAACCACTGTTGTAGGATGTTTGATTCTGTATCTATATGTAGTGTCAAATAGTATTAGAGTTATATTGAAATTCAGATACTGGAAAGGGTTAATCTATACTGACCTAAAAAAGTGTACTGTGTAACAATCATAATTAAAGCACATTTATGTATAATATAAATACTCATTGTTTAGATTATTACAGTGTTTTCCAAAGTATGAGCACTTTTCTCTCCCTCGTCTCCTTTTTACAGTATGACTGTGTCAGTTATGGGCACGGGGCGCACTTGGCTTCTATCATGGATGACTCAGAAGCTGCGATCATTGCGAGTCATGTTTCAGCCAATCAAGATGCAGAAGGTGTATGGATTGGGCTCCATGATCCTGAGAAGGTCAGTGAAAGAAATCCTAAACAAGTTACCAAAGGAATAAGCGAAGTACCCTATTATGTCCTGAGTTGCTATTTATTTTTATTTGATCATTAAAGGGACACTAGGAACTTACAGCATTACCACATGGATGTATTTTTAATTAAATACTTATACCACAATATGTATCCAGGGTAACCTAAACACATTGGAAACATTTACAGCCACGTGTGGATCTGTTAGTAATACAGCTCATTTCAACACAATAATGAAAATATTGCTGGCTAATATATTCTGTTTAGGAATTAATATAACCCAGGCCTAACTTTAGCTGTACAATATTCAATTTCAACTTTAAACATTTGCCCAACATTGCCCAAAATCTCTTACACAGCATGGGGACCTATATCATGATCAAACAAAGTAGTAGAAAACAACAATATAAATGTTGACTCCAAGGTCCAGAGTTCAACAGTCCAAGAACAATGTAGTTGCAAATGAACGGATTCTGCCCTGGCCTGGAAACTGGCCCTGATTAATGTCCCCATGTTTGCTTGTGTCGGTCATTAATTTGGTTATAACCTTGCAGGCACTCAGCAAAAAGATACTATGAAGATTTAGTTCACAGTCCTCTAAAAAAATTGCTGCCAGTTGCCAGCCTGTACCTGCCAGCCCTCCACTGATTCAAAATGTATTTATCTTTTCTATTTTTGTAAGCCCTGATATAAGACTGAGCTAAGTTCATTTCCTGATAGAAGAAAAAAAAAGTAGTGGAGCCAAATATCTAGGATTTGCAGATTTTACCATATTTTCCTGGACATATTGGTGATATATATAGAACAAAAAGAATTAGCCGTTCAGCTATCTGAATGTTTTAAATATTTTATCAAAGTGCAGATGCCACATAACAGAGTTTGGCTGTTGTCAATAATACAGAATGCAGTGGGGGCGGGATCATATTTAATGGTTCTTCTCTCGGCAGAATGGTCGCTGGAAGTGGACAGATGGTTCTATGTTCAATTACGCTGCCTGGAAAACGGGCGTGCCAGACAATGCCAAAGGGAAAGAGTTCTGTGTTGTTCTTGTTACTGGTTCCAGTAAGTGAGAGTCATAAATTTTACTCCACATTCCAAGTGCAAGACTCTACATCAGGGGTGCCCAAAAGGTAGATCCCTAGATATTATAAAACTACAGCTTCCATGATGCTTTGTCATTCTAAAGGCATGCAAAGCATCACTGGAGTTGTAGAGTTACAACAACTGGGGATCTACCTCTGATTGAGTTAAAACATCAGCAAGACATATCTATATTTTATAACTGACAGTTACCCTGTTTGCATGCATGGCAAAAATGAATGGCAGTGAACAATTTAAAATCCAAAAATATCCCAATTAATCAAAATATATACAAAATTGAGGCACAGCACACACATAAAAATGCCAGTTTTAAATCTAACAAGGTTACTTAAAATCACCTATCTTTGCAAACAAATATGGGGATTTGTTTACACTCTAAGGTCATATTTTGTTAAACCCACCAATATGTCACAGTATATCAATATCGGGAACCTCTTCTCTTTTCTCTCATTGCACACGTGGAGAGGCAGAAACAAGGTTTCTATTCACCCAATGCATACTGTGCTATGGCTGTGCCCTGACTTAAGTGCATTGTAATGTCAATTAGTGAATTTTTCATGGCCATTTAAAAGTAAACAGTACATCATATATAAAAAAAAATGTTCATCACAAGTTATAGGTGGATTTCAATGTTTTATTCAAAGATATAAAATTCATAAAAGTGATAGTTCCCACTTAGAGAAAATCAAATATTGGTTGTAAATATTTAGGTTATCAGCCAGTGATCAAACTTGTTTTGTTTTCTTGTCTTGTCTTGCCTATAGGCAATCTATGCATGTATTGGTTGGAAAAGGTTGGGGAAATATTACATTTCAGACATTTTTGATATATTGCACTTTTTCATAAACCATCTGTACTTCAAATGGATTTTCTACTTATATTCTCCATGCTCAACAATGAAAATATTAAAAAAACATAAAATTGTGGCATGCTTTCAGATTCATGAAAACATATTAATGAGTATGTACTAGCCATGTATAAGCAGTTAATGCTCTTAATGCTGCTTCAACTGTCACCTTGAATTATATCACAGCTACATTAAGCCACTTTGATCAACGATGCATGATATGGTAGTTTGTGCATAGGAGTGCTTACATTCCCTCATTATGTAGCTTAGTATTCCTTAACTTAAAGGGATATCATCCCTTTCAGACATCTGTCTCATATAAAAGCTTTAGCTTTGAATGAGACAGTTGCCTCACTCTGCCAGCTGAAAAAAGCAGGAGAGTATAATTTATTTATTTTTCATATTCAACTGTTTGTTCTTTGTTATGCTTGTCACAATATCTCCAAGGGGGCACTGAACTATCCAAGCAATGTACTATCCCTAGGAATGCTGGAAAATGGGCAATGGGAGAAGAGAGGGAGTCTAATCAGTGTGATCATGCAGAGCAGGCTCCCTTGTTGAGTTTCTCTCTACTGCTGCTGTGCAATGATGCCCTGTTTCTGTCAACTAGTCTGAAACTGAGAAGAGTGGTTAAGAGTGGGAGTGGGAGGAGGGCTGAAGGAACTCCACTAGCTGTGAGGTGTGCCCAACAATGCTAACTGACCAAGTTTAGAAACATTTATTATATAGTTTTCAAAGTTTGTCTTGCTTTATTTTGACTGGTTTGTTTATTTAAAAGTGTTTGCTTGCTGGTTTAAAAAAAATAATCAGGCAATGCATGTCCCTTTAAACATCCCTCTTTATTCCTGTGTTCTCTTTCAGAGTATAAGAAATGGAATGATGTTGGATGCGGTCCAGTTCGTAACTATGTCTGTAAATTCAAGCCCTGATTCTCCTCCACAATTTTCTTCTTACACAAAGTTTTATCGTTCACTTGCAGTAAACAAAATGTATAATACATATATGTATATAAAAAATCACATGTGCCTGTGTAATCACTACTTTCCAAGCCTGCGTATTTTTGTATTAGGTGATCATTGAGGTATTTAGGAAGTATATCCACAGCTTTTTTTAAAATAAAGAGCTAGATAGAAGATAGGTTGAAGAGGTGGGAGCTTTAATAAATGTAGATAGAAGAGGATGGAGTTAGGTTGAAGGATGAATGACGAGAAAGGAGGTATATAGAAGATAGATTGAAGAGGAGGGTGGTATATAGAAGGCAGATTGAATAGAAGGTAGGTACATAAAAGGAAACCTGTGTGCTTTGGGGTGTTTGTGTTGCACTCTCTGTATCCAGGAGATAATGAGTTTAACCAAGAGCTGACTCAATTATCTCCCAGACACAGAGGTGCCTGGGCGGGCTTATGCTACAAATAATGGAGACCCCATGCTGACAGTCTGGGTATAAATCTATGTGCTTTGCTCAATAAAAAAAGATCTACTTCATACTTCACTAAATCTCGGCTAGTGTTTCGGTAAGACAACGGTACATCTTGCAGGACAGCATAATCATTCTGGAGCTATACAAAATAGGAATGGACAACCTAGGAGGTAGTAACCAATGTACTTGTGGGTATACTGTCACAACAACTTTGAATTATCTATACATTTTAATGCTCAGAATCAAATTTACAATTTAGTTAATAATACTTGTAATGACAAAGTAGGATAAAGTAAATTATAGTGTTACAAAAACTATTGCATTTTAATTTTAGTTGGTGAATGATGATAATAATATACATCATCTACAGTAATGTAAGGACATTTTAGTTCATTTCTACATTAGAATCTGTAGTATGCTCATCTCCAGTACCATTGTGTTCTCATCTATAAAAATCCACTTCTGTAGAGAAGCGGCACAGCAACTTTCCAATAACTGGAAGGAACTGGAACGCAGCATTCAATAAAAATTTAATCATAGCGATTATTTTTCATGTTTATGATTGTGTGTTAGAGTTTACTTGGCACTGAAGGAATAATAAACTCTTCCTCTGTGGTATGGAACAGAGCCTAAACACACTTGCCCTAGAATGATCTATTTAAAAGCCACCTCACTAAAAGTGTAACAGTGAGGCAATTGCATTCCCTCTCCTCCTACACAACTATGCCCCTAAAGAAAGAATTGTAACGCCTACGGCATTCTGTTTCAATGGAATAGTAATTTAAATTGAGCTTAGTTGGTTAGAGTTCATTAGACAATTATGCATTGGACATTTTTGCCACTCTATCTTAATTGCAATCCCGTTCCCTAGTAATTATGCTACCACTCTATTTGCAAGTGCCAGCACCAAGAATTAAGAAGCTTCTAAAGCTCTCCACGACCCAACCCTACTTTTCTGAGTTGCAGGATGCTATTCCTCTTATTGCATGGTCATGAGCAGACTGTGCCTCGGTGTAAGTGGGAATTTAGCAATGTTCTATCAGGTCTGCCCTAAACGAGGGGTACGAAATGTCTCAAAATTGAGCATCTCACATTGGAAGAACCATCACTAGATTATAATGAAGTTTTTATTATTATTATTAAAGACATGGCTGACTAGAAATGCTGACTTAAAATGAAAATAAAACCCACAAAATGGTAGTAAAGGAGTAAATTGTGTAAGTGACTTTGATGGAGACACTTTTATAGGTAACAAGGGAGTGGATGAAGACGTTGAAATGGGCATTGTTTGAGAGGATAGGTGATAATGACACAGACTTTTCTTTTAGAATAGGAGGCATTCAAGTACGAGTTCAAAAACAACAAACTAAAATTAATGTCTTTATGTTTCCTTCTTTTTGCCTACTTTAAGATTACACTCCATCTGGTGATTTCGAGTTCACATAAATCATCTTCGTTTTGGATCCCACAAGTCAGACAGGAGAACACAACGTACAATTCTTGTCTGTTACTAGTCAGCATTACCCAAACACAATTTCAAATGGGCCTAATTCAATTTTGAAAACACATAAAACCCAGCAGTCAGTCATGTTTTTGTATTGTACTGTATTGTGGCAGTGCTTTTGTCTGTGTGTAAGAGTTTTGTGTGTGTGTAATATATTGCGGACTTTAATGATGATGTCACTAATTTAAGAATAAATTATGCATGTTGAAATGTTTCTTATCAAGCATCATTAGGGTGCAGGATACTCCAATGTGCCTGCAACTGGGACATTTTGACACCATCTTCTCCTGGTAAATAGATGGGCCACCACCCTCTCCCTTGAGCCGAACATTTGTTTTTAAAGTGCAAGATGCAACAAATAAAACAAGTCAGGTTGTTCCTAGTAAAGAAAATACTTATTTTATATAAGCATACAATAAAAGAAAATCCACAGGTTATGATCCAGGATTTGCGATGACTCCACAAATATTCTTGATTATTTTAGCATACGTGGCTTTTGTCCATGAGTTCATGTGAACAGAAAGCAGAAGAGAAAACAATGGTACAATACTTCTTTGTAATTGGAGACACACAATGATTAGGTTCAAAATATTCAACTAACATGATATAGAGCTTTAGATCAACTCCAGTTTCTTAGGCATATAGTGCTATAATCCAGAATAGGTGGTACTTTGCAAGCCCATTACTTCAGTGAGCAAGCCTGATCGTCTGCAAAGCCTGATTCCCCAACTTTGCAAGCCCATTACTTCAGTGAGTAAGCCTGATCGTCTGCAAAGGTAGCCTTCTGGAAGACCACACTAAGACTCCATCCTGCACGCCTTCATTTATTTTTAACTTAACCACCCTGTACATTTATTTTATTTTTATTTTATATATCCTGTGTACACTGTATATTTTCTTGTATTTATATCTTGTCTGCTATGCTAAAGTGTAGTTTTGCTAGCCCTGTATCTAATTGTTTTATTCACCTATATGCATTCCTCTATTTCCCCTCTGATTTGTGACTGACCTCTGACCCCTCCCTTCTCTTATTGATATGTTTGTTTTTATTTGAATATCCATATCTTCATCTCTGTACCTAGATACATATCCCCCTCCCTTACCTTTATTGCAAGCTCTCTGACCCTCACATTTCTTTATTCAACAGCCTGATTCCCCAACTTTGCATGCCCATTCCTTCAGTGAGCAAGCCTTCTTTCCCCTCAATGTACCTTTCAACCAATCATAACTCCCCCTGCCCTATCCTTTTCTTCTTTTGAAGTTCACACTGTCTGCCTATTTAAACCCACTCCTTTAAGAATTGCTATCATCTACCGCCCCCCGGTTATCCTAGACTATTCATTGAGCACTTTTCTTCCTGGCTTCCCCACTTCCTCTCATCTAGCACTCCTTCCCTTATACTTGGGGATTTCAATATCCCAATCAACAACCCCAATTGCACTGATGCCTCTCATCTGCTCTCTGTAACCTCCTCCAATGGCCTTATGCAATGGTCCAATTTAGCAAACAGCGGGAAACACTCTTGATCTTGATCACCAACCTCTGTACTTCCTCTAATCTCTCCAATATGAATTTTCCTCTATCTGACCACCATCTGCTGACTTTTGACATTGGCATACCTAAGGCCCAATTGACACCACCATCTGAACATCACTCTCACAGAAACCTCCAATCTCTTGACCTAGATCATTTCTCCACTAATCTCCAAACTCTCCTTTTACCTATCTCAAACCTCACCTGTCCTAGTTCTGCAACCTCCTTCTACAATTCCACTCAACTAGACATCATGGCACCTTGTACATTTAAACGCCGCAGGCGCCCCCAACAACAACCCTGGCACACCAAGCTCACTCGATATCTCCAAAAATGCTCCAGAACTTCTGAACGCTGTTGGAGAAAGTCTCACTGTGCATCTGACTTTCTCCACTATAAATTTATGCTGAGTTCGGCTCTTTCCTCTGCAAAAGTTAATTACTTCAATAACCACCCTCATAACCACACTCTCCAAAGAACTGAAACGACTATTTCACACATTTAACTCTCTTCTTCGCCCTGCTGTTCCTCCTCCACCTACTAACTTGACTGCCTCAGACTTTGCAGCTCACTTCACTGACAAGATCTCTACAATCAGAGAAGAGATCTCTCATCTTTCTTCTTCCCCTTACAATACTTCCCCTAACTTCACTCCCTCTGCTGTTCTATGTTCATTCGCACTCACTACATTGGAAGAGGTTTCTGCTCTGATCCAGTCCTCCCGCCCCACCACCTGCTCCCTAGATCCAGTTCCCTTGCATCTCATCCGTACTCTGTCTTCTTCTCTTTCTCCACCTCTCACTAAAATTCTCAATCTCTCTCTCTCCTCTGGTATATTTCCATCGCCTTTCAAACATGCAACTGTAACCCCAATTCTATCTTGACCCTAACTCCCCATCCAACTATCGTCCTATCTCACTACTGCCTTTTGCATCCAAGATCCTTGAAAGAATTGTGTATGCGAGATTGACAGACTTCCTCGAGGCCAACTCTCTGCTAGACCCGCTTCAGTCTGGTTTCCGCGCTAAGCACTCTGTGGAAACGGCACTGACCGAAGTATTCAATAATCTACTCACTGCAAAATCTCGTGGTCACTACTCTATCCTAATTCTCCTTGACCTGTCTGCGGCTTTGACACTGTTGATCATCAACAGCTTCTTCTCATCCTCCGCAATATCGGTCTACAAGATATTGCTCTCTCCTGGTGCTCCTCCTACCTCTCCCAGCGCTCTTTCAGTGTTTCTGTCTCTGGCTCTGCTTCTTCTCCCCAAATCCTCTCTGTTGGTGGCCCCCAAGGTTCAGTCCTTAGTCCCCTACTGTTCTCAATCTATACTGCCTCCCTTGGTAAACTCATTAGCTCCTTTGGCTTCCAATATCATTTCTATGCAGATGACACACAAATCTACCTGTCCTCTCCTGATCTATTGACTAGTGTCTCTGACTGCCTCTCTGCTGTTTCTAACTGGATGGCTGCCCACTTCCTTAAACTAAACTTGACCAAAACTGAAATTCTGGTCTTTCCTCCCTCAAGTGTTGTTACTCCTGTGTCTGTCTTCCTCCAAGTCAATGGTGCTACCATCAGCTCCACCATGCAGGCTCACTGCCTAGGTGTTCTCTTTGTCTCCGACCTCTCCTTCAAGCCTCATGTTCAATCTATTGCCAAATCCTGTCAATTCCATCTCAAAAGCATTGCGCGCATCCTACCCTACTTAACGCCAGATGCAACTAAGGTGTTGGTCCATTCCACTGTCCTTTCTCGCCTTGACTACTGTAATCCGCTTCTCAGTGGTCTTACGTGCTCCCAACTTGCGCCGTTACAGTCCATAATGAATGCGGCAGCGAGGCTCATCTTCCTGTCCGCCCGCACCTCCCATTCTGTCAGTCCCTACATTAGCTTCCTATAAAATATAGAGCTCAATTTAAAATTCTGGTTCTTGCTTTCAAATCTCTACATAATGCTGCTCCCACTTATCTATCCTCCCTTATACACAAGTATGCCTTGTCTAGGCCCTTTCTATCTGCTGAAGACTTACGTCTA